CGTCCTATTACTGAAATGAGCTGGTTTGAGCTTGAACTAGACCCAGATGATTTAAGTATTTTTCAAGGACATATTCACTGCCAACTTCAATGGTCACATCTGATTTTATTATTTTTTCCCCCTCAAGCTTTAAGAGAATGGTTGGTTAAAATGCTACAGTTTATATTAATATATTAAACACAAACAGACACCAATTATCATAATGCCAATTTACATTATGCCAGGTTGTAGATATAAACCTATTTTCTTGGTTATCTGTATTAGTATGTTTGGTCAAACTATTCTAACACAAGTTGCAGGCAAACACATATATAATCACAGAACCAACCAGAACTAACCCCTAACCGAGAACTAACTTTTTTTTCACACTTCTGAATAGGACACCCGGATGACTGTGGTACAACCTACCAGAGCCAAAAACACATCTAAAAATGTCACTTATGGATAAAACTATATATATATATATATATATGAAAATGGTGGATGGAAACTGGGCTATATACAAAATGACAGTGAGCAGTACACCAAGTCTGCAAATTTATGCAAATACAAGAGAAAATTGTACAAATGGTCCAACACTGGGGTTTATACTTCCTTATTTAAATTCCCAGCAGGTGGCACTGCCACAACAGTAGACAGCTTCACAGCGTCACAGACATTACAATAGGACATTACAATAGGACATTACAATATCTAATCAAGAGTTAAGTGTTAGAAAATATACTACTGCTACCCAAACATCCCTCTCACTCTGCCCCACTGCCATTTCTTTACATCCATTGTGTTCTGTTTTCTTTTTGTCCCTCCCTGTTTTAATAGGCAGCCGATTTGGGTCTGTCTGGTATCTTTAACTGATTTTCCTGTTAAACTGGAAAATAGTCTGTTTTTTATCACTTACACTACCACCTCCACCCAGGTTTTTAAAAAAAATGAAACTGTGAAACATGTGCCAAAAAAAAAAATGCAGCTAACATTTTTATTCCTTTATTTTCTTCTGTTTTCAGGTAAGCTGCTGTTTGTGCTCTAATTTTTGGGTGTGGGAGGTTTAATGGTCTCCAGAGCTGAGTAAGTATGCTTTGTGGCAGCTGACCTCTTCAACTCGTCTGACACTAAATGCTTCAGAACAGGAAGAAGCTTTCACAACCTCACAAGACCCAGAGCCTTAACCACTAAGCCACTACTGGTCCTTTAGAATTCTGCCTTCCTGGTATGCCAACGGCCCAGAGCACTCACTTTCAGAGGTGGTAAAAGTGCCCAAATTCTTTTAGTTACTGATGGTAAATTAATGCCATTTATACCAAGGAACCATGGAACATGGGAAAACATTAGGAACAGCAACTTTATTCCTAATCTCTCAAATGTTAGCTATTATGATAATAACTCTGACAACACAAAAGAGTTGAATACTAAGAGTTACAAAGTGTACTTAGTAGACAGATTACAATAATAGGTGTTAGGTCTCATTCTTGCTGACTTTACCTGTGTTTTTCTTTCAGGCAAAACTTTTGCCTTTCACTCCCTACATTTCAAAAGCAAAATCTCAATTTTCTATTCACTACTCACTTTTCTCTATAATATTGAGATTTTGAGAGTTTTATATCTACCAGTGCTGAGAGCAATGCAGCAGTGCTTTAGTCCCTTTTAGCTCTTTAGCTCTTTAAACTCATCTCCGACTCTCCTTTACACACTGCTCAAACAGATTAGCTTCCACTTTCATAGTAATACCACCGTCTATGCCTTTGTGCTCATCATCTCGTCCGTTGCTAACTATCCAAGTCTCTGTCGTAACTCCGAGCAACTGCATTGTATAGCTGCATTTCATTCTGGTACTTTGAGTCCAGTGTTTGCTGTCTCCACTAATCCTACATTAGATTTCTCATTAATATGACACCAACCTTCACTGGAAAATGTTGAGTGAGAAAAGAAGCTCTTTCTCTTGTCTTTAGGAGCTAACAGCAAAACCTGACCGTTATCACAAATGTTTGAGATAGTTGAAAGTTTGTCTTCTGTTAAACACCATTGTAACAGCTCTAGCAGTATCCCCCTGCGACCACTAACGTCTCACAAGAGTAATGAAAATGCTGCACCATCCAACAAATTAGCACCAGAACTATCACTAAACACATTACAGATATTTCAATATAAACATATTGACTGTGTTTCAGGGCATAGGTGTCCTTTAAGTACAGTAAGAAAATTATTGCACTTTGTTACATCACAACTCTGCTGATGGTGGTGCAAGATGGCTTGAGTCACAGGGTCAAGTGGTCGTAAAATGCAGATCTGAATTTCTATTAAAGTTTGCTTGGAGTACATTCCTTAGCTTAAAGTATAATGACAAAGTAAGGAAAGTTCTTGCTGATAATTGTAAAACTTACAGTTAAGACAGGATACAATCCTGACACACAGCTGATCAGTTAATAGTTTACTGTCTTGATCAAGCAGTAGCTCTGTGACAGTCCTTGGGTTTGATCTCACAATCTTCTGACCACTAGCTTACATTCTTAACCACTGAGCCACCGCTATGTACAAATGCCCCTCTGGGGGATCCTTTGAATTCAGTTTCCTTCAAATTCCCCTTAAAAAAGGACTCCCATGCCCCTACTATTGTCTGATATTGTTCACCAAGTTGTGCATTGTGAAGTTATTGTTTTCATTGTTTCTCTTGGCTTTGGGTCAGTTTGGCATGCAGTTATTCCACAAGGTGTTTTTCTTCATAAATGAATACATTTCAGAGCCAGTAAAGGAAACTGCTAATAAAACCTTTACACACAAGTGAGTCATTAAAATAAAAAAGGCACAAATTGTACTTTCTGGATGGCAGAACAGCCATAACTATTTATATTTATAATGCCAGTGCTCCTCTTCAGCTTCTGCAACTGTGCACAGTTTCTCATCATATGCTCAAACAGCCCAAAGCATTTGATTTTCATCCTGTTTGGTTTATTTCTTCTCTCTAAGTTCCACTGAGCTCTGTCAGAAGTTAAATTATAGAGCGCTCCACTTAGCCCTGGTCCTGGCTCTGCCAGGCGGTGCGGTGTGAAGGAGTATAATAACAGGGAGGAAACCTCATGAGGCTGGGCAGAAGAAGAAGCGTTGCATCCTGGGTCACGTCCAGAAGCTTTCACTACCAAGGAAAAAAAATCAGATTTTCCACAGCAACCTTATATACTCATGCAAACTAGAGCTGCGTTTATCCGCATACATTTTTTTAATTTCTGGTGTTGAATTTATGGTGTTTGAAAGTGTATATCTTGAACATTTTGCACATTTTCAATGGTTTAATAGTACCTTAACACATTTAATCTAGGTAGCAGATATGTTTCATAACCAAAGCTGTTGATGAATAGTCAGCCTACTCTTTTTCCTCTGAGTGTGTTTTTATGCACATTTCACAAATTCCTGAGATTTTTGAGGTGAGATAATTAAAACAGAACTAGATAACAAGGGTGTGTATGGGTAAAACAACATTCTTTCATGTTCTTTAACTTGCTTATACTCACATTTATTTGTTTATAGTTTACATAAAGGCATAAAAAGTTAATATGTATGAAACCCAAAAATCTGATCCCATCTCAACATATAAATATCACATATGCTGTATATAGAGAAATTTATCTGAATGTCCCATGTATCAGTACAAATATTTTAATAACATTTATAAAATGTAGAAATTAGGATTAGATACACCTTTGACACCTTAGATACACAGCATAATAATTTTGCAGACCAGCCTTTAAAACAATTTGCAGATGCCTGGTGAAGCACAACTATATCTGTATGGATAGCTGGTCCTTATAACACAACAATTTGCCAATGGTTATATATTATTTTTACTTATTACAGAATGGCAGGTGTGAATTTTATCCATTGATAGTTACAGTTGTTTTGGAACAACCACAAAACAAGTTCCTGTTATCACTTACATTATGGCAGCTACAAACAGAGGTTCCCTCAGAAGCCATTCTTTTTTCTCTCTTGTGAAGTTAATAAGACAAAAAATTTTGTTCGTCATGTTACAGAGGAAATGCAAAGCCCTCCACGCTGCAGACTTTCCCATGGTGGAAAACCTAAAGTTATAGCTTTACCTCTGACTGTTACAAAGAGTGGACACTGGAGACTCCTAACAAAAATAAATAAACAGCTCCTCACAGAAAACATCACCATATCAACATATATAAATAATTTAAATCATATGTGGATCATTTCCCATATAAGTTCTTGTATAAGTTGATATTATAGAAACAAGAACATATTAGAATGAGTGCATTCATTAACATAAACCTGGGATTTGCTTTGACTATTATCAAGAATGCTGTTATACAAAATTAATAAAAACCTCCTGACCAATCAGATTCGAGAATAATTTAATAAGTTATTTTAAAGTGCGAGATCAGCTTTGATTAGATTGTTGGGGCTCATCAGGAGTAAAAATGTCACGTTTGAAGAAGGTCGTTGTAACGGACCACATTCCTGTAGTGGACGACAGGATGTGGGTGGTGAATCCAAAGAATTCAGAAAACAAAGAGCTTATTCCAGCTGAATTGTGCCAACACTGACAGAAAAACATGATACACAGAATAGACAAAAGATTCCTTATATGATGTTTAATGAATGAACTACTATGTATATGACTTTTGCTTGATACTTTCTGCTGTTTGAGCCAAGTGGTTGTATTGTGACTGTGTCCATGTGTAAATGGGTTCATTCACATGCAATGCTCTTTTAATTTTAATGACCACTCTCTTTTTCTTCAAAAGAATTACACTTCAGTTTGCACATTATCGAGTTCGACGAATACTGATGCTGAATTGTGCATGCTATCAAAATACACTGTAGCTTTTTTCATTTGCTACTGGTTTACCAATATAGGCCTGTGCTATGCCACCCTATGCCAGTTAGTGGGTAAAGGGTGGACAATTAGTCTTAAAGTCTAAAAGTAATTCTTTGTTTTAATTGCATGTTTTATTTATGCACTTTTTGACTAGTATGACATTGGTGCCTGGCTAGCTCAGTTGGGAGCGTATGAGACTCTAACTCTCAGGATTGTGGGTTTGAGCCCCACTCAGGACACCAAAACCCAGCCACTGGGGTCGCATAAGGTAGGTTTTTTGGTCCCAAACCTGGATAAAATGGGAGGGTTGCATTAGGAAGGGCATCTGGTGTAAAACCTGTGCCAAATCAAATATGTGAGTCATAAACAGGATTTCCATACTGGAGATGAGTGATCCGCTGTGGCAACCCCTAATAGGAGCAGCTGAAAGAAGAAGATTTGACTAGTTTGACATTAGCTATCTCCAGTGTTTATAAAGACAAAATCTGTGCATTTAGACAAATGTTATAAAGAACATGTAACAAAGGCAGAGCCAAGATTTAAGATCTGATTTAAGAGTAACCTACAGATGTAGAGGAATAGATTATGCACAAGATAAGTGGTCCATTTGCAGAATATCTGATCTGTTCCCTGGTGCAGGATGTATTATCACATAATGACATTACTGTACAGGATTCCTATTTGCTCTATAGTTACGGATACTTAAGGGATTTGGTCAAAATACCAAAAAATTATGAAAAAAGAAAAGATTAAATCTGAAATTCATTACATAGTTTAATCTAATGCATTTTAGCTTTAAACTTTTAACTGGTTTAATGCTAAGAACCCTTACCTATCCAAAGAACCACTGAAGGCTTCATCTTTCTAAAAGTATATGTAAATAGTTATATTTAAGATCTGTCTAAAAGAGCTGTGCAGTTTTTTGGTGCATGTAATCAGTATGTATTTTTTTTTCTTATTGCAATTGACAGTGTAAATCGTTTTAATCACTGTCCTGCACAGTCTCTGTTTGATTACTTTGTTCCTGCTGTGTCCAGCAGTCATAGCCACGCACAGTCATTAGTGACCACACTCACCTGGGAGCTGAGGAGCTGAGTCACTCTGTGTGTATTTGTGTGTTGGCCAGCTTTTAAAAGTGTAGCGTCTGTGAGTCAGCCCTCACCTTATTGCTCACTAAATGTATTTCCTGCATCCTGCGCATTTCCTTTGTCTCACGTTGCCATGGAGCTGTTCCTGTCCCTGGCTTTTGTGTTCATGAGATTATTCCATTTGCATCATTACAGTGCTCTAATTTGGTTAATTACCACTTTTGACTGATTGCTAGAGTAGCTGTGCCTTGTGCCTGGGCTTTCCAAAAAATGTTCTAATAGAAGTCCAGACCTGGAGAACAATTTTAACTGTGACTGTTTAAGTGTTTATAATTTAAAAACACAGAAACATTGATCTCTGTTATTAGATGTGTTGTGTCTGGGTCTGTTCAGACTGCTGAATCATGGGATGCTGCTGAAGCATAAGTCAACTTATGGTAATTTATTATGATACAATTGTTCTCTAGAGAAAAAAATGCTCTTATAATCTATGTAATTCTGTTTCTGTATATTTGAGAGAATATAAGGCAGCATATAGCCTACAGAACTAATAATAATAATAATAATAATAATAATAATAATAATAATAATACGAAGAAGAAGAAGAAGAAGAAGAAAAAGAATTATTCAAAACTCTGAAAAGTTCTGTTACATCCTATCCATCCAAGGTGGGGGACACCGTGGACGGGGTGCCAAACCATTGCAGGGCACAATCACACACACAAACAATTTAGAGATGCCAGTCAGCCTACAATGCATAATTTTGGACTTGGGGAGGAAACCAGAGTACCTGGAGGAAACCCCCAAGGCACAGGGAGAGCATGCAAGCTCCACGCACGCAGGGTGGAGGTGGGAATCGAACCCCCAACCCTGGAGGTGCGAGGCAGACGTGCTAACAACTAAGGCTTTGTTAAAAAGCAAAAGGAAAAAGAGGCCCACTGTGTCTGTGTGTAAGTGTGTGAGAGCCTCTTGAGTGTGTCTGATTTGCCTGAATCCTTTTCCAACATACCAGAATCAGACATGTGGTTAATGGTCTGTGGACAACCATAAGTGCACATAAATTCTGTTCCTTGAACACAACAGAGGAATGAGGGGCCCAGTATGGGTTGGATATGGGGTTTTTAAGCCTCGTATCTGCAAAAAGCTTTAAAGGGGCAGTTTGTAATTTTACATGCCCTTTTTAGAGCCCTCTGCTGCCTGCAAGGTGAAGTGCAATGGCCCTTAAACCAGCTCTGACTCCAACTCCTTTCATAAAACTATGTACGGCATTGGAAAAGGCACACTATTCAACTAAACCCTAAACAAATGCAGTATATAGTACTTTGTGTGTGAGTAACATGAAATTTCCAATATGCCACAGATACCTGGATGATGTGTTACCACCCTTGATGTTTGTCTCTAAAAACAAATTAACCTTATTTTGCCAGTCAGAAGCAAGGTCCACAGCATAAATCAAAGAGACCAGATAGCAGATTTGTTGTTTTGATGCAAATATATTGAAGAAAATAGATAATAGAGAGGTGTTGCTGGAGAATTAGCGTCAGGGTAACAGGGTAACGGCAAAAATAACATACAAAAAACATTGCTAACTGAGATTTTTAAAGTACCTTCCCAGTTACAAGCAAAAACAAAAGAATGAAGTTGATAGAATGTTTACATGTGTCAAGTACAGGCAAGCATGTAGCTTATATACATAATTTACAGAGCAAGCATAAACCTACTGCATACAATGTCAACAGAATTCAAAAGCTAGCGTAATGCTGTACACAAAATACAAAGAATTGCACAGAGCAAAGAATCAAGAAAGCATGAAACTAATATAAAGCTGGAATATACAAAACAGTGTTGGCTGTAAACTGGGACTGACGCGACGTGCTCAAACATCACCGGCAGTTTCCTTTTTATATTCTTCTAATGTGATGATATCATTCCCGATCTACCAACCCTGCGTTATATCTGACTGTCCTCTGGGATGTCCTAAACACATAATAAAGAGAGAGGGAGAGAGTGAGAGACACACCCAGAAAACCAAAATACATCCAGGGATGTAACACATACTACTCGGGCCAAATATCCAAGGACGGCACCAGAGCTTAGCTCTACTTGAAGTTGGTAAATTCTTACTATTTGTCATTTAATGTTTTTGTAATTATCACTGGAGGTCAAAATGTCAAGACTATCTTTGTCTGTATGTGTGTTAAATACTTTGGGGGAGATACTGGGGTTGTACTGTCAACTCTGTCTTAAATCTGTCATCGCTGAGCTGAAAGGACCTAATGGTGCCTCTGGAATGCAGTCAGAAACACTGAGGCTCTACAAAATCCTTTAACCCAGTAATTTTGTGGGTGAGATGAAGTGAAACTTTGTACCAACTTGCCCCATCTACAGACTAAGGGTCATATTCAGATTCAACAATAAACTAAGTTCAGATGTTTCATCAGAATTTACGTGGAGAAAGTTACGCATATTCAGAGTTGGGTTATGCAAGTTTCTGGACAGAAATTTTCTGGACAGCTCATTCAGATTATGCAAATGACCTGCATGTAGTTCACACCACTAAGTTCGCCAGATTTTTCTTTAGTGGAGGTCTCAGAGATGGGGTCTAAACTGAAAAAATACAAAATGAGGACTGAAGAAACAGATTACATTTTTTTCTTTCCTGTTAAATGTAATAGTATGTAACAAAAAAGTAAAAAAAAAAAAGCAGTTTAAAAATAAATAAATAAATAAAGTCTTATACGATCATATAGTAATGATAAGCATTGAAATTAAATAACATTAAATAGGTGTATGGTATTTTGCCAATATATTGCTTCATGAATAGTCCAAGTTGTAATTATCACATTAATCACTGAGAATCTGGTTTAATTTAACGGTTGGGCTTTAACCGCTGTTATACAACAACTTAAAATAGTACTTGATCCAGCATGTTCTATTAATTTACATTTTACTTTTTTAAATTGTGTGCCAACAGATACTTGTTTGCACAACTTGAACCTATGACATACTAAATTAAGGTCATGAAATTGTAATGTGTACAGGGAATATAGACTACTTTATCATGCTTTAAATTCACTAATTTTTATTTGTTAAATTAATAAAATAATGTCAATGATTTAGTTAGTTCTCTGCACTCTCTGGTAAAGAAAGTGTGCCCACAGTTTAAAGGATAAGCTGACCAAGCATTCATATGCCATGTCCAAAAGCAATATTCATGATTGTGTATAGGTACACTCATACTTCCATCAGTCTTTGCCAGTTTTCTGTGCTTATTTTTAAACAAGTAACTGTTGTAGTTTTTCCACTCTGACCTTTAGAACAGCACATATTCAGGTTTTTATGTGAGTAATACTAAGAAACAGAGGTGTAATTGTCTGTATTCCATCCTGGAGATGGAAGTGCTGTTATTTCCATTAACACAAGGGCATTTCTTGCTCTGTCGCTGTTTTTATGAGTATTATGGTGTTTAGAGAAAGCTTGCGGTCTCTCAATGTCCATAAACTCTTATTGTTGAACATGGGTTAATGGTATAATTTAGCATACTGGCACACTATTACCTATATTGTATTCTTAGCAGACCTGGTGCTAAAGGCTCTGTGAATAATGAAAGCCAATAATGATAAATGTAAGATCATTTCAGTGACTAGTAGCTAGTATTACATTAGCCTAATAAGAAAAAAAAAAGTATCACAAAAGTAATGCCACTGTAGTCAAAAAGGTTGGCAATGTAATAAAACAAGGAGTTCAATAGCATGTTTCTGCAACCACTAGGCTTTAACGTTAGCATACATACTACATACTATTATAGCCTTTGCACAGTGAGTGATTGAAGTGAGTGCACCTTTGTTCAACAGACATTTTAGTCTTGGTTTTAGGACTTGAGGAAAATGTCATTGCATTTTGTCATAGATTAAGTATACAAGGCTGAAATGTTAATTAGTTATCCTTTTTTGCCAATGGTACAGGTTGTTGATGGAATGCCTTTTCTCTTAAGTGTCATCAACAAAATTAACGCCACTCAGGCACATGTGACCCACATCCACTTTAGGTTATCTTCGGCTATTAATTTTTTCAAAAGGCTCTTTGTTATTAATTACAGATGATGGAGTCTTTTTGGTGCCTTGCTCTTTAAAAGCCAGTTTGTGTCTCTT